GCTACTCTCCCAGGAAACAGTCCTCATCCTCCGTAAAATGCATTGCACACATCTGAATATTTGGGTTGAACTGTTCTAGAACAGTGTTGTAAATACAACTTAACCACTGATTTCTAGTCGTGTCCTCTTTTGGAAGACCAAACAAAGTAGTTTCGCTTTCACAACGAAACACACAGCGTCTCCAGGACACGACGGCAGCGGCAACAATACTACAGCGAGAATCAAAGTTTCTCCTTTCTTTGCGTGAACATTTGGGCGGCGTTGTGCAAATTTTCCCACATCGTGACGTAGACATGTGGGGGCGCGTTAGAACGAGCCGTTTAGCGTGGTTGACTCTGAACTTTTATAAAGAATTTGTTCAGTCTCTCAGAAAACAAAACTTCTTATGTACAATTTCCATCTCAAGTCAATGTATTTTGATTCAACACTGGAAGAACGTTTTTGTGTGTGCGTGTGTGTTTTTGCAGTTTATACAACATTTAATGACATGACTTCTTGAATCTAAGTCTTTGTGCTCCAGGTTAACACCTTTTTAGTTAAGACCCACAAAAACTAGTAAAATCACAGTAATAACCCTATTTGAGTGGATTATTGCTCCGTTAAGAGCGTCTTTAATCTGCGAAACGCAATTCCTACCCAACACAGTGTCCTTGGGCAGGGAGATGGTAGCACTAGACTCAGCTTCGGACTCCATGGTTTGCTCCATAATGTTTTCCCTGTGCAGGAAAAGACAAAAGCCGCTGTGAGTCTGGAAGAGGTGCATGATGGGAGCTGAAGATGGAGTCCCAAAAGAGCTAAACGCTCACCCAGACTGTTCCAGATCCGTGGCCACCAGTATATTCTTCTCCTCCTCGGCCGATGACGTCTGACCCGCTGTGTCGGGGGTCGTGACCACCACCACCTCCTCCATGTGGACGTTCACCTCAGAGGATGATGCCATGAGGTCATCAGCACCTGACAGCTGTCAATCAGCATCTGATGGGTGTGGACAGGAAGTTGAATTTTAAATGAGGTTTTATTTACTCACTGCTGTTAAGTTTATTCAGATCTGTTCTTACAAATAAGAGTACTGTATTGGTACCACAGTTATGAAACAATGACCATATGAACAGCTTAATGCTTGAATAGCTCTGCATCCAACCACACAAATATGGAAATTACTGTAGCTTCTGATCACACACTGCAAAAAGTGATGCTCTTCCTCAGTATTGTGGTCTTATTTTCCAGTCCAAATGTCTAAAGATTCTTAAATCAAGATACATTTACTCGAGAAACAAAATGACAAACTAAGAAGCATTGGCTTCTGAGAAATTGGTCAAAATTAAATTAGTTTTTGATTAAAACAAGAACAGGTATCTGCCAATGTGCAAAAAAAAAAAAAAAACACAACTTAAATTCAAAGAGAAAACAGGTTTTCATACCCCACTGGAAGATATTTGTATTGGTACCACGCTAAAATTATGAATCAGATGGCTTTACCTTATATTTTTGATATATATCATGGTACTAAACGTTAACTACAGTCATAAGCCTTTGTATTCAAAAGACCTCTATAAATACTATGGTAAATATCCAATAGCATTACACATTTTGTTAGTACAAACAGTAATTGCATTCATTAATAATGATTAATTATAGTAAGCATGTTCGCAGTCTTGAACTCACAGATTATCAGTGTTTTGAGGTTTATCGCTGAATGTTTGCGCTTTGCCCAAATTGACCGAATTAAATACAAAAAAGTAGCGGTAGATATGTGCGTACGTGGGGAAAAAAATTCGCAATTCAAATAACACGCAGAAAAACAGAGTATAAATCGAATCTTTACCCGCAAGAGTTTGAATCCGTGTTTAGTAAGCGCTGTGCAGACAGACTCTACCGCGCATGCGCTGGCGTCGTGACGTCACGGGCGCGTCAAACAATAGAAATCGAAGTGGGTAGATGCATAAAAGATATTGATAAAATGGGCGGACTAAATAATTTTTTTTTTTTTTTTTTTAGTTCATATCTCTATTTTATTTTATTATTGTATTTACAGCTATTAAACTTTAATTCATTGTCCAGCGCTGAAGAAGCACAGGTACTTTTCTTTCTACAGGTAGATTTCAATGTCGCATAATAGAGGATTTGGGCTTTCTGAGCCTCCTTGTGGAAAGTTCACAACAAGCTGGTTTCATAGTTAACAGTAAGTAGCTAGCCTACGCAAAGTATACGAAGGAATAAAACTAAATTCACATCAAAAAAGTTGGACTGAATTCTAACTTACATATTAGTCTAACTGTTTTAATGCATTCAGCATTTATTTATTTTACTCTTCACTTTTCTCATATACATATGCAGTTCACAGATTCACAAGAATCTTACATTGCATTCAACACACACACAGACACACACACACACACACAGACACACACACACACACACACAGACATAAGTAGCCAGCCTTCACAAAGTATACGAAGAAATACAATTAAATTCACATAAAAAAGTTGGACTGAATTTCAATTTGCATATTAGTCTAACTGTTTTAATGCATTCAGCATTTATTTATTTACTCTTCACTTTTCTCATATACATTTATGTGGTTCACAGATGCTTTTATCCAAAGCACCTTACATTGCATTCAACACACAAACAGACACAGACAGACAGACAGACAGACACACACACACACACACACACACAGAGACAGACAGACACACGCACACACACACACACACACACACACACACACACACAGAGGCAGACACGCGATCGAAGCTGTTGTAAATTACACTACAAACATACACCACTTTATTGGAACCACAACTGTTTCTGAGGAACTACATTGTTTGGTGGAAGAATACTGTTTTTATTTATATCATTACACTTTATTTGCTCTGTTTTATTCTGTGAAACCTTACTACGTATATGGAATAACCGTTTTATAAAAGCAATAAGCCCCAGGAAGCCGTGGTTTACAGTGAATTTATAACAGCTAAGGGGGTTTTAGGCACTCCGCTTCGCATCGTGCCTAATGACGCCCCTTAGCTGTTATAAATTCACCGTAAACCACGGCTTCTTGGGGCTTATTGCTTTATTAGCAACTACTTCTAGAGTATACTCAGGACGGTAAATGGGCTTGTGTTTGTGCGTGCCTGCTTTAGTGCTACTTTTTATTGAAACTAGACAGTTTTATTTACCACTAGGTGATTAAGTGTAACAGTGATGTCCAATCCTGTCCTTGGAGGGGCACCTTCCTGAAGATTTCTAGTAATACTGAAGACCATGATTTGCTGGTTGAGGTGAGTTTAATTGGGTTTGGAGCTAAACTTTGCAGGATAACGGCCCTCCAGGTGCAGGACTGGACACCCCTGAACTAGAAGAATAATGCTACAGTTTTGTGGTGTGGTTCTCTAACACAACAACAGTATCAGCATGCTAATATAATTCTAAATGTTTTTCGTGAAGATGGTTAAATCCCATTCAGCACAACATCTATCACTCACTGTTTACGCTGTGAATCTTCCTGTAGGTCAGAGAGCAGGTTTACTCCAAAATTTCCTGTTTCATTGTAGCTCAGATCAATCTCTCTCAGGTGTGAAGGATTTGATTTTAGAGCCAAAACCAGATCAGCATGACCTTCTTCTCCGATTCTGCACCAGGACAACCTACAGATAGCAGAAGTTATTGCTGTATGGCTGTGTTGTGTGTGTACTATAAGCACCAGACAAAAAAAATGCCTCTGGCTCCAAAAATTAAACATTTAAGGACCAAACTACTTTTTATAGTTGATAAATCACAAAATCGTTTGATAAAGATGGTTATTTAGAGGTAGGCCTACTTAAGTTCACTGAGTGCAACAACAGTCACTGCTGTGTGCTGTGATGAAGGGATGTACATACTACATATATTGTGATGGTTTAAGAATTTTTTTAATTCGGGTCTTAGCTTAAATTAAACATCTGGAAATATTTCCTATGCTTCATGTCTAACTGCCTGAACTCTCAGTCAGATGACAGCTGAGGCAAAAGGTGATAGAACAGCTGATAGATCAAATAAAATGATAGTTATGAATGTGATGGTAACCCTAACTTCTATAATCATTTTTATGATTCTATAATCATTCATTCTGAATGGTAAATTATTACACTTACCATAGTTTCTCCAGTTTACAGTGTTGATCCACCAGTCCAGCACAAAGCAGCTTCACTCCTGAGTCTCCTAGTTTATTAAAGTTCAGGTTGAGTTCTCTCAGGTGAGAGGGGTTTGATTTTAGAGCTGAAGCCAGAGCAGAGCAGCTTAATATTGCAGGTGGAAAGCCTGTAGCACAAACAAAGCAAAAATCATTCTTAACATTTTTTTTTTTATTATAGCATTCAATATAATCACATGTGTATGTTGGAATTTAATTATCATTTAAGCTGGAGGAAATTTTACACGAAGGATATTTTAGCCATGATCAGTGTCATCTGTATTAATTCATAGTGTGTCATCAGGCCATACAGATGCGTTTATTTTAACACAAAATAAGCATCAATCCATCCATTCTCCAAACAGTTTAGCATCTCAGCCTGAAGGCAGGGAATACCCTGGACGCATGGCCAGTCCATCACAGGACTCTCACACACACCCACACACACACCTACATGCAATTTATCGAGCCACCACATTAGACTATGGAGAATGTTTTATTTAACATTAACTATAATATGAGAGACTATTAACACTCACTGTAGTCTCTCCAGTTTACACTGTGGATCCATCAGTACAGCAGACAGCAGTGTCACTCCTGAATCTCCTGGTTTGTTAAAGCTCAGATTGAGTTCTTCCAGGTGTAAGGGGTTTGATTTCAGAGCTAAAACCAGAAGAGCACAACCTTCCTCTCCAATACTGCAGTGAGACAGCCTGTAGAGAGGAGAAAAAATCCTTACATTAATCATGATTTTAAAAGAGCACTGCATTAAAATTCCTCTCTTTATGTTCATTCGACAAAATGATTTTATATTTACATTCTACATTTTCTCTTTCTGTAGCTTAAATAGAAAAACATGGTACTGATTTTCCATTCGCATACTAGTAAAAATTGATAATTTCATACATAGTTGTGATAGAACAGAAAAATATCAATCAACTTATCTACAAAATATCTACAAATGCCTTTTCACTGCAGAAATATCACTCACTGTAGTTTCTCCAGTTTACACTGTGGATCCTCAAGTAGAGCAGAAAGCAACTTTGCTCCAGAATCTCTCAGTGTGTTGGTGTTCAGATTGAGTTCTCTCAGGTGTGAGGGGTTTGATCTCAGAGCTGTAGCCAGAGCAGCACAACCTTCATCTCGAATACAGCAGTATTCCAGTCTGCGGGGGGAAGAACAATTTCTTAAACAGACAGAGAAGGGAAGCCACATGAGGGCCATTTGATCTTTACTACATTGGCCATCTGACACCCCTAATGAAGGCTCATAGAAAGTAACCTATGAAGATTTACTTGTAAAGATGAAGATACATTTGTATAGCTCTGACTGATTTTAAATTGAAAACTCGACCTCCTCTGTAATGTGTCATACCATTGACATTACCTAAGCAGTTCTAGAAAATTCTAGAAAATTCCACTCATTCAAGAACGTGCATTTATTGCATGGACAGAGAAAAAAAAAACATAACCTAAGTTTCTAAAATGCAAATGCACAGTTCAGGAAAAATGAGCAAGAATGAGGGGGAAAAAAGTTGTATATTATTTTAAATTAAAATAAAAAAAGACCCTTAAAGTTGTGCAGAGGTGTATCAAAATGTTTGGCATTCCATAAATGTAATTATTAAGAATAATTGCTAAGACACCATGCATCAAAAAAAGAACAAAGAGGGTAGTTTTTTACCATTTAGTGATGAAAAGTTAGTTTAGGATAAGTTGGATATTGTAACGATTCAATCCACTGAAGGTGAGCTGCACTGAGAACCCAAGTTCAGTTTATTTACAAGTGATCCAAACATCCAAACATAATCTGAGACTTGACTTGACATGACATGACATGACATGACATGACATGACATGACATGACATGACATGACATGACATGAACAGACTTGACTCACTGACAGCGGGTTACAACTTCAATACACGACAAGACACAATGGCAACATGAGGGCTACTTATACCAAACACTAAGGGTCACATGACAAGAATCAACCAATGGGAAACAAGACACATGACTAGGACAACCAATCAGAACATGACACAATGAAGAAGAGAACCAATGGCATGAATACATGAGGGCAAGGGAAGCATGACACAAACAGGGACCATGACTAAACTAAAAAATAAAAAGACATGAACATGAAACAAAAACAAAACCCAAACCCCACATTACAGATATATGGAAGCACTGGAAAACGTTTTGCAAATATCTTTTACAAATAAACATATTTGCTGTTTATTCAAATGTATTGGTAGCCATGTAAATATAAATATGTTATAAAAAATGTCACTCACTGTAGTTTCTTAAGTTTGCACTCTGGATCCTCCAGTACACCACAGAGCTGCTTTACTACGGAATCTCCTGGATAATTATAGCTCAGATTGAGTTCTCTCAGGTGTGAGGGGTTTGATTTCAGAGCAAAAACCAGAAAAGCACAATCTTCCTTTCTAATACGGCAGTTAGACAACCTGCAGAGACAAAGAAAAAAACTTCTGAACTGTGTAAAGCTTAAAACACACATAAATTAAAGCTGAAGTGTCACCATGTGGAATTGTAAAAATAATTATAGGTTTCTCAAACACTTTTTCCAAGCAAACAACTTGACATCTTGCGGTGTCAGGCACACTTTTCAGGGATATCGCTTACATAGTTGTGTGCATATTAACCTGAGATATGTGAAAGATTTTGAATGTCGTAGTTCGTAGCTCCGTTTAAAATTTAAATTGAATTTAATCAC